CATAGGTTAGGGTTGAAAAACAAAACAACTTTACTTCTTTTAACTACTTTACAAAACAACTTGACTTCTTTTAACTACTTTACAAAACAACTTGACTTCTTTTAACTACTTTACAAAACAACTTGACTTCTTTTAACTACTTTACAAAACAACGCCTTGATCCAACTTTCTAAAAAATTTTCACGACATTTTTTGTAGTGTTTAAATATCTCCATGGCCAGTCTAGAGTATTATATATAATAAGTCTATGGTATTAATCTACTCAGAGCATATACAATTTTAGTGATAGGCTAAAGGTCCAGACCATAGAAGACGGTGCGCAAAATAAAAGTCTATTTATTTTAGTCTTTCATCATGAATACATTCGGGAATACACGCTGACGTATGTGTGTTTGTTGGTCGAAGTAACAGAGGTGTCCCTCGGAATGCTTTAAAGGCCAACTTGCTTTAACTGACATAGAAGAGAGCACCTGCTTGCAGGCGGCTTCAGAACGAGACAGCTGGAGGTCACTTACAAAAGCCGCGGGATACACATTTGAGATGACAAGAAAACGCTCTGCCGAGGACGAAAGTAGACGGTGAAAAGAAAATCTAAATCAATCACTGGCGGACAATGATTATGCCTGCGCTGGATGTGTCAAAATATATAAGTTGCAGCTGGGGCCGCGTAGCCAAGGGAAATACTGCATTTCTCATTAACATTCAGACTCCAGGACAAGCCTTATTATGTGTCTCTAAGATATAGTGTGTCTTGATCTTCAGACCCTTGTTAGTTTTTACCTTATTGTAGTTAAAAATATCATAACGGTTAAACCAGAGTTTTCCCTAGTTGTCCAATTAGCAGTTATTAGTTAGTAATTTTGACAATACCTAACTTTTTTTTTTTTACCATGCTCCAAATGATCGACTTTTCACCCCACACTGTTCAGCTTTTGAATTCTAGATATAGCACCTTTGGTTAGTTTATCATTATTTAATTTTTGCACCCTTTAATCTTAAGGCAAGAAATGCTTGGTATTAGACACTGCACATAATCAGTTTCAAGTATTAGACACCACACATCATCAGTTTCAGGTATTAGACACCGCACATCATCAGTTTCAGGTATTAGACACCGCACATCATCAGTTTCAAGTATTAGACACCGCACATCATCAGTTTCAGGTATTAGACACCGCACATCATCAGTTTCAAGTATTAGACACCGCACAGAATCAGTTTCAAGCCTAAATGGGAATACACATTTTCTAAAGGCCTCCTTTTTATTTATTTTTTTACAAATTGTTTTCTCTAAAAAAAAAAAAAAAAAAAAAAAAAGTAATATCGGATTGGATTTAATAATTGTAATCGTGTCATTGACCCATTTTCAATGAATAGGAATTACAGTGCTACGGTTAAAATATTACTTTTAATAATAATAATAATAATGTCTTCGATTCCGAAGATTAAGGATGATTACAATATTTCACATGGCTGTGCAAACGAGTTGCGATCTGCGTATTTTGCCACATCTAATGAAGATAAAGCCTTCGTCCGTTTTGGGTGGAGAGATATTTAAGTTACTTTTCGTAGTCTCCGCCTATCTTCATCAAAGGCTGTTCTTTTGGGTCTCTAATGTTTGTCCAGAAACGTCCTGAGAGCTCCCCAGCAGCCTCTTACATAGATTCGAGGAAATAGCATTAGTTTATTTAGATTTGTCACTTATACCCGTAGTTTAAAGTATCCCCTACTTTAACGAAAACAAAAAGTTGAAAAACTCCTGACATCTCCGACCTACAAAAGATCTAGTACTATTGAGTCTCGAGATGGTTGTAGTTCAGTCGTTAACAGATTTAATGTTGAATTCCTCACAGATTTTATTCGAAAACTCCAGCAGACTTTGAATAATTTGGAGAAGAGACTTAACAATGAAGAGAAGGAAGGATGTGTGTTTGACTCACCAAATATTGTCATCTGTGAACATGAGGATGGTAAGTCTGTTTCTTGTTTATTTATGTTAGAAGATGGGATTCAAACTATGTGGTGAACCTGGAGAGCAGCACGTACCGTTTCGATATTTCATTTCACTATTTGTTTCTTTATTAGGGGCAGGTTTATGGTAAGGCAGCTATAGTTTTGTGTTACTGTATGTTTAAATGGCAGAAAAAAACAAACAACAACACGTAAATCCAATTCCACAATCTTCTCAAAATAAGTTCACGATTGTTTTGTTTTTATTCACTAAAGCATGCATATTGCATGCATACACATTTAAACTTCTTTTAAAACAAGATTTAGATGTAATAGTCCCCATTCCCCATCATTTTGATTTGAAACAACAAGAATGTAAACAATAGTCATCATCAGCGCGCCTCGATATTGATGTGCTGTGACGATGCACGTATCCAAATCTCCCCGTCAGAACCAAACTGTATAGATCTAATTAGTGTATTCTAAAAAATGGCTAATTCATTACTTAAGAAACCAGTCTCCAAAGTACTTGGATCGAATGTGGCAGAAATTACCAACATTTTCAACATTCCTACTGGGTTGTTTTTTTTTAGCTCAAGAGAGCTTCAACTTTTTCTTATAATTATTATCGTGATAATGCATTACGAAGATAACCTTTAAGAGTATTATAGCATTGAAATATTGTAACCATTAATTACAAATTAAGCTTAGTAGATACATTAGTTTTGAAAAAAAACACGAGATATTTGGTCAATTTTTTCTTCCGTCTGTTGAATTTCTGTAAGCGAATATGTAAACCTTCGTTTAATTGTTCTAACACATTTCATTTGAAGACTGAATATAAAAGTAGCCTAAATCAAAGTGTTGACAAAAAAATACAAGGGGCATAATCACAGAAAATAAAAAAGTTGTTAAGTACTACGGAGTTACCCTACTTTAAATATTGTGCTTATTTTAAATAGTATAAACTTTAAATACATTGTACGTCAGTTTCCGGGGCCAGATTTTGTCTACTACATTGAATGAATCATTTTTCTGTTCTTTAGATTTCGAAATTTAAAAAAATTAGTTTAAAGGTAAAAATGGATGTAAGGTTGAAAATAATCTTCTAATATCAAATCTAGGCTACTATAAAGAAATGCATTTGTTTATTCTTCAAACAATAGATACTGATTGCTACGAAGGAGAAACAGAAGCAGACAATAGTACCAGGATCATTGTTCCAGTTGTTTTCAACCAAACATTTGCAAACAGCCCTGCAGTGATGGTCAGTTTTTCTGCAATACAATTTGTCGAGGGTCAGACCCTCGAGTTAAACAATTACAATGTTACCACCACAGGCTTTGATATTGAGATCACATCCAGTGGTCCCACTCCAAGTGAACTGTTTCTCTCTTGGATTGCCTGCAAACGGGCATCTGGTTAAAGTTGGATTTTTCGCTTTCATTTTTTAAAGTTTGATTTTTTGCTTTCATTTTTTAATGTTTGATTTTGTGCTTTAATTTTGTAATGTTATGTAAAATCCAAAATTAGTCACTAAAGGAGAATATTGATAATTTCAACAAGATCATTTTGTAAAATTTTGTAAAAACATACTTTGGTGTTTTACTTTGTATATAAATTTCAAAAGCTTGTCCTTGTTAGGATAGATAAGAAAGAACACTAAAGAAAAATTAACTTCAACTTATTCTTTTAACCTCGGACCTCCGAAACACAATTACCATAGGATATGTTCATAGAACAAATTCCCTTTTTTAATTAAATTTTTTTTGTTAGACCTACTAGCAGGCATCTAGCATAGAAAGCAATGATAATTTTCTGTAATTATTTGTTTAAACCAGATTTACATAATGTGCATTAGATGCGCCCAAGCCAAAGTAGCTGGGATTGATTTTCTTTTCTTAAATATTTATTATGAATTTTCTTTTTTTTCCCCTCGAGTTAGAATAAAGCTTCTTTATAGTTTTATTATTTATGATTAGCCGTAAAATATTGCTAAAAATGAAAATAGAAATAAAATAAAAAATTTATTGTCCAGTATTGAATGTTGCTATGACTTAAAGTAAGAAATATCTACACTGTCAATGGGATATATCCAGTTGATAAATATATATATACACATATATATATATAATTATTTATAGTATATAATTATATATATGTATTTAACTTACTAGCTGTTCTTATTTAGTGTAACTTACAGTAATATGCTGACAATGGGTCATTAACTTTAAAATAGCATTGTATTCCTTCAAATTTTTTACATGACATATGCAATTCTTTTTTTATATATTAAAAGCTAATCATTGTTTACTTCACTACGTCACTTAGCTATTCCATCATGTTGTCTCAATGATTTAGAATGCAACTTTCAGGTAATCAGCAATTAAAATATACGGGAAATGCTGACATCAAATTTTCCCCTTTATGGCACAAACGAAATGAAAATGACTCCTTATAACGTGTTGCTCAAAGTGAAATAAACTGCAAGAGGTTAGCCCCCCTGAGTCCCTCTCTATGTTGACCCGATGTTTACTGGACCTTGACGGATCAAAGACATTAGTGGGTTTCAAATTTTGAGATTGTGATACTGGTTAGTAGGTCTCAGCATTAGAGAATTTGCTAATTAAACTTTTGCTAAGTCTGCGGCTAACAACGGTGTCATGTACGCTTAGTCTATATTTAGCTTGTCGGCAGAATTTTAGCTACCTCGGGAATTTTACATCACGCAGCAGAATTATGTTTTGGGATGAATGTGATTGGTTGGAGGTATTAATTATTGTACTTTGAGCAGCATTTATTGGTTGGCCATGCAGCGGAGAGATGTTGGTCACGTAGTAACGCCCAAGCTTTGTAAGCTGAGAGATGCTACCGCCAGTCTTGTGCGGAACGTGTTAGAGAGAACATGTACTAGAGTCTAGTGTTAGAACTCAAGAAAGAAGACATAATTATATTATTGTGTAGATCATTTATTTTATTCAAGTACATTTAACCATTGTAATTATTTGTTTTAGCTTTTCCAAGTTTTGAATTAAAGTATTTGTTTTAGACGAAGAGAAGTTTCTTCATTGAATATATAATAGTATACTTAGATCGTCTTGTCAACTAGTAACTTCTAGATGATCCTCTTATCAACTAGCAACTTCTAGATGATCATCTTATCAACTGACGACTTCTGAATCCTCGGCAACCACGATCATTGATAGTGCGATATAGATCAAGATAATCTTCAACGTGACATCTATCATAGTACCATCTTAGATTGTGACACCTTAGCACTATTGATGATTCGTGACAAACGAATAACTGTAACATTTAAATACAAAGAAGCCAAAATTAAAAACAGTAAAATCATTTTTATTCCAGCACCACTGACAAAGCATATCACGTACCACTGACATAGCATATCACATTCCACTGACATGGAGTATCACATACACTGACATAGCATATGACATTCCACGGACATAGTGCATCACTTACCACTGACACAGCACACAACATACCACTGACATAGTGCATCACATACAAATGACATAGCACATCACATACCACTGACATGGTGCATCACATACAACTGATATAGTGTATCACAATGTTGGTTTAGTTCCATATAAATAAATAACTGTATAGTTTTCTATGGACATTAATTGAAACAAACAATAAATTACATTTGGCTTAACATTGACACTCCCTCTCATACAAAGTTTTTAAAGCCAATCAAACTGTTACAAAAATAAATCATCAAGATGAAATTTCATAAAAACAGTGGTAACAATTTTTTATTCAATAGTTTTAGCCTTTGTTTAATGTGCTTCACAAGGTGTAGTCACATTTAAAAAGATAATCTTAAGTCAATTTCTCCTAAATAAAAGTTAATACTAAATAAATAAAAGTGAACTTTGAATAGGACCTAGCAGTTATGTGGCCCCAGTGCAGTTTTGTTGACCCATGCAATATGATATGGTCCCAGTGACTTGATGTGGGTACATTGCAGATATGTGACCCCAGTGCAATGTGATGCGCCCAAATGCAATGTGATGTCTTTAGAAACTATGCTACAAATTCATTTGATACAATTGTTCTAAAAACGAATATGTCAACACACTTGTATTAAAAAAAACATTGTTGACTTTGTAAGTCAATTTCAGTCATTCCTTCAAAAACGATAATCAATATGATGTAGCAACAAACCTCCAGCGGGACGGCAGGTATTGCATTTGAGATATCATGACAACAACAATCAAATGCACATTGCACATGGCAGACAGCCATTTATTTACTATTGCTCTTTGATATTTTGCAACAAATTGAATCTAGTCATCAATGCAAAATAAATTGTTTTAAAAAAACTATAAAATGTGGGAAAGGTTCACATAGTGTTAATTAGTTTTCTACATTTGATTATCTTTAACTATTAATCTTGAATGAAATTGAAGCCTTTTTTTTTTCATAATTATATATTTGCAAGAAAATCAACTAAAAAAAAATATTTAAAGATTAGTCAATAACTCAAACCATTCAAAAGTGTGTAATAGTATGTCGAGAAAATAATTGATTAGAATCTCTAGCCCTGACCATGAAGAGTATGTTCGAAGTCTCAGTATTACTTAAAATATAAATCAACTTAAGGCTCACTCTTAGATAACTCAGTAGGTCACACAGCAGAGATAATTATTGACTCAATCAATATTATGCTAAGTACACTTTTAAAAGCCTTCTGTCTGTCATGAGCTAACTCTCCAATGTCGGACACTTTTCCGTATCTGCAGCCATTTCCCTTAAGATTTTGGAAAATTGCAACAGCTTCTCCAGTGGGAGTACATTTCTGTAGACTCCAGCCTTCTTAAAGAATTCCTTTGGTCTGGATTTTTGAAGTGTCTTGAGTTCCATCAAAGTTTTGCTATTTTTATCACCGATTCTATAAAAGGCAGAAAAAAAAAATTATTATTTATAATAATTATTATTATATTTATAATTATTATAATAATAATATAAATAATATATAAATCTATATAATACCAAGAATGTCCAAAGTACACACACAAAAAAAAATAAATAAGAGGTTAGTGTAACTAGGCAGCAAGAAAAAAAAAACTCAAACAACTTTGGTTATCATTCAAGCAATGCTACTGCCCTCAATATAATAATTTTTTTAATCAATCAGTATCTCCAGCTAAAGAAATGTAATGAAGCAAACAATAAGGAAAGATGACTCTTTGTCAAATCTTTTTTTTTTTTTTTGTTTATTTTATTTTCATGTTTAAAATAAACCTTACATCATTGTATTTAAGGTTTTGCACAATCAGAAATTATGCATACAAGTGCCAACTGACAATAAGTGGCATGTTTCTTTGGTTTCATCCTAACTAAAGGCAGTGGAGAGCTCATGTCACACTTAATTGGTATTGCTCTAACCTGAATACACTTTTCAGAACTCTTACTTAACATAATTTACAAACATTAGCAGGTGCAAATTGTAACAGTTGAGTTAAAAAAAAAATGCTTATCTATGGGAAGACGTCCACATTTATAGATATATCTCTCAATAATGTAGAATTTATTTCCATTTTTTATATCAAACAAAATAGTTAATTACCAATAATAATAATTGTGGAAAGTTTCAACTTGATGGGTGTGGGAGAAATGTTGTGTACAATTATCTAAGGGGACAAATCCCCACATATTTAGCCATATTGCTTAATACTGAAGGATTTATTTCCCTTATTCATATCAAGCAAAATCAATAATTACCAGTAATTAATGGAATAATTGGTTAATTTAATTTTTTAATTGATTCATGTTTTTTTTAGGAACAATGAATAATTGTGCAAATTTTAACTTGATCTCAGAATGGATATGGGAGATATAACATTTTCATGTGAACTATACAAGTCATTAGTGTTTTTGTATAAAGTGGTGTAAGAATTAAGTTTCAACCCATGATCCAGGAATCACTAAGCCAGCAAGCTATCTGTTAGACCAGCTAGAAAATCACTCCATTGGTGTTAGGCTTACTTAAACAAGTGTTCAGAGTTGGCCAACAACAGGAAATTAAACTAATATAGTTGAAGCAAGTGGATAAACAACATGTCTGATTTTGAAAGAAATTAAAAGAAACAGACTTTGAAGAAGAAAAAAATCCTGTTAAATGATGATGTTTTATTTTTAAAAATTAGTATGTAAAATTTAATTTATATTTATAAATAAATAGATTAAATATATTAAATAAATATATATAACTTACAATGGAAGAGCCTTTTCAAGACCGTTAGCATAAAACCAGGATTCAACCTCTTTGTATGTCCAATGTTTTACAGACTTTTCTTTAAACACTGAAAAAAAAAACATTGCAAATTATCCTTTCTTTAACAGATGTAAACATGTACTTTCAATTGAATTGTTTTCTATTCAGAACAAAGCATTGTTAAATACAAAAAGAACATCATATGTCCAAATGCATGTAGCAGCTACCCATGTCCAACCAAGAGCGGAACACCATTAGTGTTCTCAAACCAGAATTTATGTTATAAAGAAGATTTTTTTTTTAATGCACTAGTAGCTATATTCAATATGTAAACCACATTCAGTACAAAAAGTCTTTTTTATGAGATGTCTGTATTTTATTACAAGGCACAAGAACGTAAATAATTTTAATTATATAAATAAATCTTTTTTTTTCAACTTATTTTTTAAAGTTTTTAGAAGATCACTTACCACCAGTTATGTTAGCTAGGTCATGACTTTGTCTCCCATTTCTCTCTTGATATGACTGATCTTGTTTTACCAGCCGACTAAGAAGTGCTTGCTGCATTTCACTATCTACTTGTGGATGAAGAAGAGTGAATCTATCAGATTTGCTAAGATTTTTTTCTGAAAACTCAACATCTGGACTATATGGCGTATCAGCACTGCTGTTAACATAAGGTGGTACTATACACATCAGTGGGGTTACAGGCACTCCTGTTACATCATTGTTGGTACCAGTGAGAGTTTTCAGAGTCCTATCATCAACATCCTTTTGATTAGGATGAGAACAAAGATTCATAGTTTCAAGACAGTACTTAGAAACATGCAAAGATGTTGAATCATTAGACACGTCATATACATTGACAACATTATCCGAGTTTATGCTTGGTTGGATGAATGTTGTTTTTTTCAATATTTCTGTTAACTTTATGGAAACAGCACTCCTCTGGTCATCGCAAGGCAATACGATAACACTTCTTTTTTTCCCTTCATGTCTGACTATAACTTTCTCAGGTTGCAGAATGTAAGACCCAATACTTTTTATAAGGCCAGGGTGAGCGCTCTCCTGGCTTCGAGATGACGATGAAGATAAAATAATCACATTGGGAATCTTCATTCTTGAGCTCTTCTTTGACACAGTATTGTCATCCTGTGTGGCAATGTTATGGGTTTTAACAATGTTTGGTAAAGTGTTATTAGAATACTGATTAAGACCATTAGAAGCTGTAGCAATCTGTGTGAGATCATGCCTGTTTACAGATGAGGGATGCATGGTAGTGTTCAGTTCAAGAGTGTTAATTTCTTGGGATGTTTCTCCTTGGATCAAAACATTTTCTCTTTTATGGCTCCTGGGTTTATCCAGCAAGCTGAAATCTGAAAAGTTAGGTTCAACAAGTGAAAGCTTATCGCCAGGTGTGGAAGGCTGATAGTTTGAAAAACACAACGGGACACTTACACTTCTTACAATATTGTTCAACTTATCTGGACTTGCACAAGAGATCGTAGTTAAAAAAGTATTTTCATTGGTTTTATAAGCATCATCTCTGAAATTAGTGTTGATCAAAGTCCTTTCAGCTTCACTATTCCTGGAAATACTTCCACTTTCCTGAACTAAAAGTTCTCTACTGTCCAACAAGGGACAATAGGACAGTAAGCTCTGACCACTTCTATCAACAAGACGACCTCTAGAATCACTACTTAGGGAATTAAAAGTGTCTGATTTAATTATATCCTCATCAGTGTCATGCAGTGGATTACCTTGCTCTGTTAGAATCTGAACATTCTGTGGTACAATAGCATCTTGTTGAGACACACTACGCAATGAAAGTAGAGCTGTGACTGCATCTGATTCTGGGGTGTCGCTATCCAATGTCGTTGAACCCACTAATGCAATTGGAATACTGTCACTCAAAGCTGATGACTCCTTAACATTTGAGAATGTATTTTCTAAATTGTTTTGCTGTTCTATCTTGTGGGTGTTGGAAATTTTTGAAATTACTGACAAGAGAAGATTAAATGAAGGATAGCTGCCTGAAGATTGATGTTCTTGGTGACCAAAAGAGAGATACGAACTGTTACTAGGCACAGCGGTACTTTTAGTCAGGACATCAGATAAGCCAACCTTGGCTTTTCTAGGTCTTAGTACTCTATTGGACCTAGTGTCAGCAGCCAATGAAGTTTGTCTTTTAAATGGCTGTGATAAACCAAGGGTACGCTTGGAACAAAAGGATGTTTTCTCAGCAAGTGTTTTGGAAGAATTATCTGGTGTGGAATTTACAGTTGAAGTAGTACTCTCAGTGAATCTTTTTGAGTCATTAGATTTAAGGGTAACACTAGGAGACATTTGCAGCTGTTCTAATTGAGTTTCAAATGACTTCACAATATCACTAGGATCCAATGTAAAATGGGCACTTTCTTTTTGACTTTTCATTGACACAAGCTGTAAATCTTTTTGTTTCTGTGATGTCTTGGGAGGAATAGAAAGAGTGGAAGTTTCTTTTAAATCTGTTTCATGTGAACATTGAGGATTGTTGTGTGGTAAAGGTTTTGAGATCCATTCAGGTTGTGTAGGAGGTTGAAGACTTCTTGATTCAACAGAATACTGTAAAATTAGCAGTGCATTCAAAGTTGGACTAGAACTATCTTGAATGTTGGAAACATTAATAGTTCTATTTTCCCTTGTTTCTAACCTGGAAATATTTTTCCTATTTGAAGCAATGGTAACATTTTCTGTAGTCTTACAATCAGAATTATCTTCAGCATTTGAAGCCAAGTCTACAGTTTCAGCACTCTTTAAATAAGAGATTTTTTCTGTATTTAAAATTATGTTGACATCGTTTGTGTCCTCTAAATTAGAAGAGCCTTCAGTATTTATGACATTAGAACTATTTACATTATTTACTAAATGAGACATGTTGTCACTACCTGAAGTTATGCACGTTTCTGTTACCTCTAAAGTGTGCATTTCAACAACATTTGAATCTAAGTTAATATTAGTATTAGAAATATTTTCCACAGTATAAATTTTATTTTTCTTATATTCTTGGTGAGGAA